GAGAGCGAAAGAGACAATTACAACAATGTGCGACTAGTGCACATAGATTATTGGAAATTTACAATTAAATCGATAATAATAATCCACGGAATAGTGCACGTACCAGGTCGCTGTCTATTGCAGCCAATTGCAGTTGTATCTTCGTTGGATGGGACAGTAAAATAAAAAAAATAAAAATAACAAAACAAGCTCTGGAAGATATGATGATACGAGCAATTGGTTTAGATTTTCTTTCTTTTTTTTTTTTTTTTTTTTTTTTTTTTTTTTTTTTTTTTTTTTTTTTTTTTTTTTTTTTTTCACTTTTTATGAGTGTCATTAAAATTGCCCCTTTAAAGAAAAACAAAAAAACAAATGACGAATTTAATTTTATTTGGGTCTTTACGGATTTTAATGACCCTGAAGTACGATAACTGCCTCCCGGTCTATTTTAGTGCTATTAATCTATAAATAGTTACAATAATCACCTATTAATCCCCAAGAAAGCCTTGAAATCATATTTTTAAATCGTATCACTTGTTATGTTATTGTTTTGGAACGACAGAATAAACAGTTTGTATACAAAATCGAGTTGATGTGTTGTTAATTAAATTTTAATGAAACGACAACGATACGATGGAAAAGCAATTGTACTTTGTCGTGTACTTCCTCTAGTATTTTTAGTTGCTCCATTGATAAGATGTTAGTAAAACAATAATAATTTTTAATGAGGTAAAAAACACTTTTCCCCCTTCTCACTCCAATTCCATGCAAAGTATAAAGAAAAAAAAAAAAATAATAATAATAATAAAATTTCACTTGAACACGAAAATAAATCAAAGGTGAAGAATTTCGCTATACAATACAAATGCACCAAAGTGAACATTTGAAACACTGACTAATGCCTCTTTAAAATCAATGGAGATGGGAGAAGAACCTCCTACTTTTGGGGGGTTGTGAAGAAGCAATTTTGTAATTTCAAATCAGCATCTCAATACGTTTACGTGAATCATCGCGCGGAGAAACAAAATCAATGTGAAATAAAAAATATTTTTCAGCAGTGGTATATGATTGATGAAAATTAAGCCTCGAATAAAATTGGATGGAGCGCCACATAACACGAGCCTTTATACCATAAAAAAAAAAAGTACTGAATTTTGTAACTAATGAACGTAATACACACACATACAAAGTTTCCTATACAGTGAAGAAGCAAAAAAGCTCGATCGACCGATTCCTCACATCTCGTCCGACACATGTTCAGCCAACAAACTGTACACAGCTGCACGTGCGAGACAAGGGGGTGTATAATACACACGCGAAGAAAGGGGGTGGAAAAAAACGAACCGTAAGCATAATATAAACACACGCTCGATCCGAGCTAAGTATATACACGGAAAATAAGCAGTCGAAGAAAAAGAAGGCGGCGTGCAGTGCATGCAACGCTCACAGTGTAGGTATAAGTGGAGGAATAAAATGAGATCATCGCGTTTCGGGGACACGCGCACTTTCTCGCGTGCACGTATATACACACGTGTTGTGCGATGGCACACATCAGCCGCGTCGTCCGAATGGCGCGAGGGAATTTTCGCATGTGCGTGCAGTGTGTGATGCACAACAACCTACATTGTCGGGACGCCGTCGGGTAGATTGTTCGCAGGAAAGTGCCGAAGCTTAAGAGATAAGAGAACCGGGCCTCTTTTTTTGGTGATAATCTGGTATTTACGCATGTATTATCGGCCCTTGATGTAGCCGAGAGCTGAGGAGATTATACGCAATCTTTCTTTCGTTCTTGATGGTTTGATAAATTTCGTCTTGGCGATAAGTGCATCATCCGCACGATTGACTCGGCACTCGAAATATACAAGACATTCGTGCGTGAGCTATTTGGGTAATGTGTATGACTAAATTTCACTCGTCCTAATAAATTTCGGCAAAACTACGTAGCAACAAAAAAAAAGCCATGTGTCACGCAACTAGACACCTTTTTTTTTTTTTTTTTTTTTTTTCGTCTCTGTCAGGCTTGTATACGTTATTATGTACGCTTCAGTCGCGAAATTACAAGAGTGGCGCACCAAAAATGATAAATATATTTGTTTTCGCGCTCTTCTCCGCTACTATCTCTCAATTCGTGTGTGTACATGTGTGCCCATGTACGTCGCTCGTTCGCCGTAGCTGAATTATTAATTCTTATCGTGTGTGCAGTGATTCATTACATTCATATTTTCCCCTCTTTCATTGTCTGTGGCTCTGTGTTATATATATATATACATTCGAGGCGATATCCCGCGATGCTGCTCGTTTTCATATACGTACGTATAAATACCAAAGCGATTTATTGTCATTTTCTCGAGAGAAATGAGACGCGTTTCAGCTATTTTATTCGTATCGCAGAGTTGATTTTCACTCACATTGTTGTAAAAATACACCAACTGTGGATGAGTGTTATCATATCGTTTACGTGGAAAAAAAAATATCTTGGCAGCTCGAATGAGAATGTGCGCTAATAAATTCCGGTATTTCGCATAAAAACACGAGATAGACCCGAAATTTCAGGCGTTGCACATGTCGTAGACAACAAGCGTAACTGCGGTGACAGCTGCGCGGGGAAAACACAAAACGGAGGAGAAAAAGAGATCCATTATTATTTTTTTGTTTTGACTATGAAAACGTAATATTGTGCAAAAGTATGATGAATCCGAGCGTACGAGAGTGTCCAGTGAAAGGCCGAGGGGAATGATAATTGAGACGGAAAAAAAAGTATAGCGAACGAGGGATATCACGAGGAAGAGTTCAAAGTAAAGAGGGACAGCGGTTGATCGAGTCTTTCCGAGACGTGATGTGCCTCACACGAGTTCCTTTTTTTTTTTTTTTTACCACGCGCAAATTGCCTGGATTTGTGCGAAAATGAATTTTGAGCTTAAAGTTAGAGCGTTCCGGACGGTTCGCACTAAAAAAAAAAAAAAAAAAAAAAAAAAAAAAAAAAGTCAGCGAAATTGCTAGTTCGGAACGTAGTATAGTCGTAATGAACGAAGCTACGATGCCACGGCATAGCAACACGAGAGCNCTGCTATGGTGATGATGTTTTTTGTTTCTTTTTCGTTATAATAATCTCTCTTTCTTTTAAGGACCTTTCTTTCTCTGCTTTGTTTGTTTATTTATTTATGCGTTATACGAATAAAAAAAAAAAAAAAAAAAAAAAAGAAAAAAGAAAACCTTTTGTGATCGACAAACTTTTCATTGAGAGATGTGCGACTTTTTAGTATAGTTTACTTTTATCTAGAGGGTTATTTGAAACATTTTAAGTGTAATTTTTCTAGTTTTGATGATAGAACAAAAAAATTTGCCAAAAGGATATTGAATAAAAAATACATTTTTTAGAATTTTATCAGAGGTTTCATCTCATTTAATAAACATCCAAGTTTATATGCAAAGCCAAGAGTATTTTTTTTTTTTTCATGTACGGACGTACAAATCGAAAAAAAAATTCCTTCAGTTCACGCATCGTTTTTTTAAGCGATGACCGTGACGTGACAACGCATTGTTTTATCGGGTTTGATTATGACTTTTTTTTGTCCAACGCTGCTGCCGACGTTTTTTAACTTCAGCTGTCAGCAGCAAAAAAAAAAAAAAAAAAAAATTCCATACAATTTTTTTTATTCAGAAGGTTTTGATTGACACCCGGGAAAATTATTTACACTTCACGCTTGACTAAACCTTTTTTTGTAGGTTGTTCCTGCACGTGAACGATTCGAATTTTCGACGGATTTTTAAATTCAAATTTTTCCACACTTCAAATTGACTTTCGACAGAGAATTCGATTTTCAACTTTCGCAGTTTTCCCAAAAACTTGTCTCGATTTCCAGATTCGATAAAAATACGCTGTAAAGCAGTCAAGTCGCGTAACACTAAATATACAATCATCCCTTTTGCGGGTACATTTTCTCAAGCGGTTCTATTAAAAGTTTCAAAGAAACGGGGAGAAAAACCAAACAAACGACGATACTAACCAAATACTATCATCACCTTTTAAGATAAAACGAAATCGGTTGTCTTAATAAACACATTTTTTTTCTAAATATGCATGACGTAAGATACGTCAACGTATCATTTCACAACACGTGGATCGCTCGACAAACAAAGAAACTTTAAAAATATCCATATACCTATTGCACACACCAGAACCATACGAAAATAAATGGGACGCCCAAACGTGACACGGATAATAACAGAATTGTATGAAGACTTTTTTTTTCTTACGAGAAACTCAAAAATAAGTCCTAACGGAACAAATAAACCGTAAATATACTTTTGATATTCGTTGCACCAAGATCCCGACCCGTGACATTCAATATTATAAAAATTTCTACTCCTAAATGGCTTGTAGAACAATACGAATTGAAAATCTTTGAAGTACTTAACAAAATAAGGCCCGTAACCTCGTTAATTGATAATAATAATAAATAAAGTACGCTCTTCCATTTCATTTCGCAAACGTTTAAAACGTATACGTGTGTATACAGACACACATACACTTCCTTGCGAAATAAAAGGCCACGCGGAGGAGGAGGAGTACTCTCCCCCGTGCAAACTTTCAGCGCCGCGGGTCATTGACCCCGCAGCCCCGCGCAGTACTTACCTACTACTATACAGCAAGAGAGTCGAGCTAAAAAAGAGAGAATCACATCTCGCGCTTGAGGCAAAAATCTTCGAGGAGAGCCTCTTTAAAAATCGACTCTGCTCGACAACAACAAAAAACAAAGACAGAGAGAAGAGGTGTATGGCATGAGCTAGAGGTTAGGCCAGTGCCTCCTCATTCCCCCCCTCCCCCCTTTCGCAGTGCGTTTTAAAAGGCCCGAGAAAGGGAGAGCTCGCACGTAAATATACTCGAGAAAGGGTAAAATAAAAATCGAAAAAAAAAAAGAAACGGAGGAACAGAAGAAGAATAGTAGAAGGAGGAGGAGGCGAAAGGGGAGCGTTTTTTTGGTTTGTTTTGTTTCAGCGTGGAAGGAGAAAAAGCTTACCTCTATCCCTTCGTTCGATATACTCAGCAGCCTGCAGAAGGGCAGCAATGCTCATATTTCCCCAGTTTGGCCTGATCCCCCGCTGTTCCCTGCACCGGCGGCTCTTCTCCTTCAGGTGCTCTCTCTCTCTCTCTCTATCACTGTGTTTCTTTCCTTCCTTCTCTCCCTTCCTCTCTATCTGTGTCTGAACTTTTTCCTTTTTTTTCAATCCTTTACTTCTACTGCTGCTTATTCACATGTACAGTTCACTTTTTTTTTTTTTTGTTGTTGTTTCTGATAACGCTGTTTTGATAACGATTCGCCGCAACACTTTTTTTTTTCGCGTCTTACAAAAACAAACAACGAGAACAACAATAATAACCGCGGCACGTCGGGGAACGAAACCAACAATAAAAGAAACACGCGTCGAAAGGCTGTGTCTCTGTTTCTTCGGTGCACTGTATAATTATAACCAAAAGAATTAACGCACTCACCGCGAAACCCTGATTTTTCTTCTTCTTCTTCTTGCAAAACTCACACTTTTTCCAGCCAACTCGGCTGGTGATGCGTATATGTATGTGTATATTATTTATACACCATATACATGTAATATATTTAAAACAGGTAAATTAAAAAAAAAAAAAAATAAAATAAAATAAAAATAAAATAAAACAAATCAACACAAGCACTGGTTGTATGTATATTCCTGGCCAGGGTAGAGAGTGAGTTCTTGCTGGATCACTTTTCTTCCTTCACAAGATCCAAGTTACACGTAGGTAGGTATCCTGCACAGAGAAAGAACAAAAAAAAAATTGTATGGCGTTGCACATTGTTAAGTACACGTTATACATACAGTGGGAGGGACAGAGTCGCCACCGCCGATCTTTATATATGTATATTCGAGGAGGGATATATAAAATCGTGTTGCATTTATATGCCGTGTATGTGTATGGGTACCCACACATATACGAAGAGTCGAAAGCAAGTCTCTTTGGCTGCATCGAATCGAAAGAGAGGAAAAAAAAGGAGAGCGAGCGAGCAAGGGATCCCGGACCTCGTTATAACTCTATACCTTTTTTTTTTTTTTTTTTTTTTTTTCCTTCTCTTGCTCTTTCTAAATCAAAATTACTTGCGATCCCGAACTCGATTCTGCAAAAACAAAAATACACGCCGCACCACTGCTGCACAGTTGTAGCTGTACTTATTGTTAGTTGGAAAAAAAAAAGGAAAGAAAAGAAAAAAACCTCGCGAATACGGAACGAAAAGCAAAATTTATCATTTAGGCAGGCCGCTATAAATCTTTCTCCAATAAAGCAAGCACACACCCATATCCAGTGGAGGAGGAGGAGGAGGAGAGATAAGAGAGAAAAGCTCCCTCCAAAGGAGAAACAATAACATGTGCTGCATGCATGTATATATATATGTAGTAGGTATTTTCAATGCGCGTCCAGCACAGCAGTCGACGACAACGAAGAAGGAGGAGGAGGAGGAGGAAGAGGAGGAGGTGGTGGTGGCGAAGAGGGACTGAGAGAAAGAAGGAACAGAAAAAGACGATGACGGTGCACTGGCTCTTTATATATACGTAGGTATGGGTGTGTGTGTGCACATCAACAACACCGGCTGCTCCGCAAAAGCTTGGCAGCAGCGGCATACTTAGTATTAAGTATAAAGACCCGAGACTCGTTCGTGATTTTAAAAAGCGCATATATACATATACACGTATATATATAAAACAGCCTCGGCACTATTACGTCGACACACGGACGACGCATCATCGTCATCGTCATTGCGGCTGATCGTCGCATCACGAGCCAAACGTCGTATCTCGTTGTATCGACTCGCAAATATATTTTATTTTTCCCCCTCTATAAATGTTTTTCAAATACGCCGTTACACGCGCTTACACACCATAATAACACACATGAAAATTCGGTACAGCCGCGGGAGGGGAGAATATTATTTCGGTATGCGTGTTATACGTACCGGACGGGGAAGCAGGCGTGCTTGTTATGTACCGCGTGTCTTTTTGACATATATAATATGCTGTACGCGTATGTATTTATACGTAGTCGTCTGTGTTGGGTGAATGAGATCGTTGTTGCTGCACTTCTGTTGCTCTTGTACAAGTTACGTCAATATAACTAACGTTGGCGTATAAATTCGGATGCAGTCCAGAGTGACGTTTTTATCCGTGGAAAAATCGAGGGGCTGCGAATTTTTGAAACTTTTTTATTTTGTTTTTCAACTTTTCTATGGATCGTGGAACGTCACAAAGTAGATTCGAAGAAGAGGCCTCCACGGCACTTGTATGTATATATTTATGTTATACTCAACTGCAGGAGATTTCAAAGACACACTTATACACACACATATGGACACACTGCACGATTGATGCACTGCGTGCTCGATGTAATAATCTAAAAGAGACTTGTATATAGCAGTGGTGGCGGTGATGGGTGCAGCGTTCAATATCACACACAAGCCGTTGTTCGGATCACGCTGCTATGGTGATGATGTTTTTTGTTTCTTTTTCGTTATAATAATCTCTCTTTCTTTTAAGGACCTTTCTTTCTCTGCTTTGTTTGTTTATTTATTTATGCGTTATACGAATAAAAAAAAAAAAAAAAAAAAAAAAGAAAAAAGAAAACCTTTTGTGATCGACAAACTTTTCATTGAGAGATGTGCGACTTTTTAGTATAGTTTACTTTTATCTAGAGGGTTATTTGAAACATTTTAAGTGTAATTTTTCTAGTTTTGATGATAGAACAAAAAAATTTGCCAAAAGGATATTGAATAAAAAATACATTTTTTAGAATTTTATCAGAGGTTTCATCTCATTTAATAAACATCCAAGTTTATATGCAAAGCCAAGAGTATTTTTTTTTTTTTCATGTACGGACGTACAAATCGAAAAAAAAATTCCTTCAGTTCACGCATCGTTTTTTTAAGCGATGACCGTGACGTGACAACGCATTGTTTTATCGGGTTTGATTATGACTTTTTTTTGTCCAACGCTGCTGCCGACGTTTTTTAACTTCAGCTGTCAGCAGCAAAAAAAAAAAAAAAAAAAAAAAAAAAAANGTGATGATGTTTTTTGTTTCTTTTTCGTTATAATAATCTCTCTTTCTTTTAAGGACCTTTCTTTCTCTGCTTTGTTTGTTTATTTATTTATTTATTATTTTTTTTTTTTTTTTTTAAATGTTTTTCACCTCGATTCGCCGATTTTGCCGTGAACGAATGTATATATGAAAGAAGTTATGTACAATAACAAATGTGCGGTGATAGAGAAAAAAAAGGTGACGTACGCGCGCACGCGACGGGTGACGAGGAGCGACTGAAGAACGGAGCAGAACAGCAACGACGGAGCACAGCTGTCGGCAGTGGGCTGGCAGTGGCGGCGCGTTCCCTACCCCACCCCACCCCCTCCATGTTCCATTATACACATCGAATGATAGCGGCGGCTCGCGCGCGCACGCTCTGTTTTTGTATTTTGCCGAAGGTGCAATAAGTTTGCTTGCGTCTACATGTGTGTGTGTGTGTGTGTGTGTGTGTGTGTATTTATAATGTACACATACATGCACACGTGTGTATATTTATGCGCAATGAAGAGCGCGTGGCCGCGTGGGTGTGGTACATTCAAATATATATGTATAGTGTACACATATGCATGCAACAACGCTCGCGTGTGTGCGATGCGGGCATAGGTATATATGTATATTATATAATATCATATAAGGTGAAGCTGCAGACTGCAAAAGGCCTACTGATGCGCGTGGCGAGCTTTTATGCACTTTTGTGCGTAGATTTTGCATTGCAAAGTATTTGTAAATATACTTACATAATTTTTGAGACGGGCAAATTTTGTGAACCCGCGCCAACATTAGAAGCTTCATTTTTTTTTTACCAGGAAGCTCAGCCCAGATCGGTTGGTGTAAGTGTATACTTACGGTATTTGGTTTCGGAAAGAACTTTTGTTGAAATAAAATCAAGATTAGTGTATAGCCTCATCGTAATGGTTATACTTAGGAAGTTGAAGTGGACTTGAATGCGCGCTGCTATGATGATGGCTTTTGTTGTGTGGTTCGCTGCAGATGGATATATCGCCGTGCACGCGGAACGCGGCAAGAGGGCAGGGGAGGGACATACCTATATATACCTACTCTCTTGTGCACCTGTGCCTCGTGCATACCGGGAAATTAGTAGCTCGGAACGATACCTATACCCACTTTTATACATATATACAGGTGATGTGCTTTTTACACGGTTGTAATTTTTTTGAATTACAAGTGTGTGTGTATATATATATATATAAGTACACGGAGACCGAAAGGTTTTTCTCATCCCGTATCGTATAGTAATAATATAGTACACTTTGCTTCATATTACGAATTATAAATGCACTCGAGTGGTTTGACGAACAAGTGGCTGGAGTGGAGTATTTTTTGCAAAGCTGTACTTAATTACCAAATTACTGTATATTCGTATACCTATGTAGGAGCGATTCCACTACAAAAAACTTAAGGTTAACACTGCACACCTTCTAAGGCGGTCTATACTGTTTCGTTTCGCAGGGTAACTCGATGAATCAGTACCTACACATGAGAAGCGAAATAGGCATCTGAATAGCAAAAAGTGCATGCACGGTTGTATGTGTGAAGAAAAGTGTGCGATAAAAACGGAAAAAGCTGTTTAAAGCCGGATTCTTTGAAAAAAGGGGGAGCGAGCCGTTTGAAATGTTTATCACGTAAAAAGTTGTAAGTATATTCAAACATTTATATATATATATGTATGTATATATCTGTGTGTATAGGGGACGCGGGTGTTTTCGTATAATACCTACGTGTTTACTTTTATGGATGTATTCGCTCTGTCAACGTGTAATTATGAAAAGTAATTACCTGTTATTCCCACGACGTGTAATTGTATTTTACGATGTATGGGTTCGAATGGCATGTGTATGCAGGTATACTGGGCAAACAGGTGTTCCATTGTCACGTGAAGCAAGTCGCTTGCCGTGGGCACACAATCATGTAGATTATTATCCAGGAAAATCGTGAAAATTACGATATCTTTTCGTGCAACAACGAGGCAAAATGACCAAAAATCTTTCGTTCGTTGAATTTTCAATCGAATGTTCCCTGGCAAATGATAAAAGCAATTGAGTCACGAACGTTTTTTTTCAGCGAGGAGTCCATCACCATATAAACGCACAGACACTCTCATCACCGGTAAACCCAAAAATCGTTTTCGTTGATCGAAAATTTTTCCACATTCAGTTTGGCCACTGCGCGTCCAGTGGTGGTACCCACACACTAAGTAAAAGAAAATGTATATACATATATAAGACCTCTCCTCCTCTTCTCTCCGTAGACAATTAGGGTGGAGAGGCAAGGTCAGCCCTTGGGAGTGGAAAGTTACGGTTGATGTGTGTATATACTTATATACCCTACAAGTTACGCACAAGGTATAGAGGAGAGGAAAGAAAGCGAGTGCATCATCATCATTATCCCACCGAGCACCATCATCTGCGCAAACTGACAGTATAATATGGGCTTTACGAAAAAAATCACCTGGATTTGGTATAAGCGGTACCTATACATTACACCGTGGCGGGGAGGGGGCAAGAGAAACCGTAACCGGCTGTTCGTTGCGGAGGGAAGAGGAATGCGCTTTCGTTATTTTCATGGGTGTAAACAATATGTATACGTACACGTGAATGAAATAACTTTATCTTTTTTCTCACGACTTGCATTTCACGTATTTCATGTTATGAGCTTGCACGCATGAGTATAATATGTACTTGTAAGTAATGCGCGAATCATGTATACGCGCTGTCAGTACATAGTTGTAAGTGTCTCTCTCTCTCTCTCTCTATCGTAACAATAAACAGCAATGTATGGCAATAATCGTTGGCAGCTCCGTCACGGTTGCGTTTTTTCTTCTTTTCTTTTTTATACACGATATTGTAACTATGTAGGTACGCTTTTGCGGGGCGCGCGATTCTTATCGGATCGACTGCCGCTGCAGTCCTCCTCTTCGTGCAGCCCATATATGTATACACACGCGTGTACGTATACATTCTCGGTACATAATATGTAATTGAGACGGCTTGTACGACCGATGTTTCCCTAATTTATTCATACGCGGCCGGGTTTTCTTCGTTCGATTTTTTTTTTTTTTTTTTTTTTTTTTTTTACCTTCCCCTTGCATGTGCTGCTCTTCGTTTGTATTTTACACGCGAGAACCGCTACTCCATCCGTTGCGAGGCTTGTTTTTTTCCTTTCCTTTCCTATTTGCAATCAAGTGACGATTAATCATTCATTCACTTGGGGATGATTTTGTGCGCGCGTTCGTTCCTTCGAATCGGCTTTGCGTAAGTGGTGGTGCGCACAATCGAACAAAACCCGCTGCACAAAAAAAAAAAAAAAAAAAAAAAATCGTAATACTCCAATGGCCGTAATAACAACACCCACGTGTGGGGTGCGCAATTGGCGTGTATTACACACGAGGTCGCGCTTTCTTTCTTCTCGCGTCGGGCGCGACGTGGAGAAGCGAGAAAAAGAAACGAAGCGTCAAATGGGCCGTTGATTAACGGTGCCGACGATCCGTCTCACCAGCGACCGAACACTTTGTTATTTTAATCAGCGGATATAAACTTTGGGCCAAATCAATAACCACGCGAAAGAGAAAATAAAAGCTCGAGCTGATCTGCGCGTCGACGGAGAGAGAGAGATGGAAGTATAGGCCAGTGGCAAGGTGTCACTGACAACCCCCCTCCCGTGCCTTTTTGCGATGTCTTTAAAAAAAAGAAAAAAAAAAAACCTCAAGCGGGAGATAGCAACAACCAGCCTGTGATGGTACCTATGTATACTTAGCGCTCGATGCTTGCTTGGATTTTCGCTGTTGCCACGCGCCCGAGAGTCCTCCTCCTCCTACACGTTATCTTTCTCTCTCTCTCCCTCCAGTTCGTCTCGACAATGGCACACTAGGACTTTGACTCTCCATCTCTCTCATTGACTTTTTTTTTCTTTTGTGCTTGAGAGAAAGGGAGGAGTCGCTACAGCTGTACCGAGCTAGACTGTCTGCCTGGTTTGTTATTAGCGGTAATTCCGCGTGGCGACCATCTCTTGGATACTATATAAATATGCTGTAGTGAATATCGGGCGCTCATAGTTTTCATTGATTAGTGTTTTTTTTTTTTGTTTTTTATTGGATTAAACCAATATTGTTTTTCTTAAAAACAAATAAACTTTGCCCCTGGACAACCGGCAACCGGTTACATGCTCGAGAACAACGTAAATTTTCACTGTTTCCGCAAAACAGAAGGTAATAATATCCATTGTTGCGCTCTAAAACTCATACATTTATATATATATATATAAATATGCACATTGAAATATATTTTTTTTCGTTCAGGTCGATGATTTACCGGCCTTCGGGTTAATTTAAACAAATCGTGTCGCATACAAAGCGTTGCTCTCGACTCTTATTGTCGGCGCAAATTTTTCCCACATAGTAATCACTCCCGAAGAAACGTTGTTTTTTTTTTTTTTGTTTCCCCGTTATCTTGTAAATCGCTAAAGTACGCGATTGCGGGTATTTACTTATCTCCTTGCGTGACACGTATATACATTTTCAACTGTTCTGCTGTGCAATTTGCCGCTTACATTGACGTGCACTTCAACACCGCATTCAACGAAAAAAATGTGGAAAATCGTTGCATTGTATATCTCGATGACATTGTATATGAGAGCAAAGAGACACCTTGATTCTTTTTTTGTTTTTTTTTTGTTTGGAAAGTTCGACGTTTTCATTAAAATTCGACAAGACGAGGGAGAAATCACGTTTGGAAAGCAAAAACCAACTCGGCCGAAGTAAACCTCGCCACGGGAGAAAAACAGTTGTAAGTATATACAGCCCTCAAAACTTCATTACAAAATAACGAGCGGCAAACTCGGCAAAGCCGCAACGTCATCGTCGACGGCGAAAAAAGGGAAGAAAAAACTTGGAGAATAAGCCGCACTTCGAAAATTTCCGATACAGCTACCTGTATACTCGTACACACACACATATACATATATATTGGCAAAAGTACAAGGGAGGCAAGAAAAAATGAAGATCGTCTCATTTCGCCGCGTTGGCGATATTTTCCAAAGTTACCGAAGCGCAAGTACGTTATGTACACGGCAGCTCATTTCGAAGTCAAGGAAAATTAGCGTAAAAGTATATTATATACCGTGCCGATCGTTGCGGCAGAATGATATGGTATGGATACCCTATGTACTTGCGAAGCTACAGTAGAGGCATTGATTCATTTTCTCTCGATTCGATCAAATTGAACGACTGTTTTGATTTTCGCTCACATTGTAGATAACATTGGTGTAGACATGTTGGTATATGTGTACTGCCTTTTAAAAACCACGTACGTTACAATCATTCATCGACATAATGTTGAAATTGTAATTAAATGTGCTTTCGATCGAGGAGGAAAACAGCAGGGAAAAATATTAACAATGCTATGTATTATATATACACATTGATTTTAAATCATTAAACACGACGGTGCAGTTTTAAACGCTATACACGCCTGTCAAAACCATTCCAGTGCAATCACGATAATTATTTCTCGGCTTATCTCGCGATGAAAAAATTCTTATCGCAAAAAAATACACCACCGTACCGAGATGATTTCTCTCCTCTAATTTTACCAGAGCATATTATATATGTATATTTATACGTACAGATTTCTTTTAATTGAGCTGAGAGAGAGATAAGATGTGACCGATCGACGAGCACTTTCCCCCCCACTACTTACATAAGTATACATTGGTAGAGATGCTCGAAAGTTGGAATTTCTTGTGTGGAGCGATTGCATTTATTTACTGATTATTATTTTTTTTTTAATGGCTACCTAACTGGGTAATATTCGTGATGTTTGCGAACACTTCACGAGCTATGCACGTTTAGCGCTTCCTCGCGGGGACGATGGAAAAAAACCCGAAAGAAAAAAACCAGTTTTATTGACTGCAGGTACGCGTATTTACGTAATATGCCTCATTGTCCATTGTACACGGTAATATGCGTGTGTTTATTCTTCCAATTTCAAATCGACGTGTTTTTTAAAAAGCTCAACTGGTAAGTATACAGAGCGAGGGAAAAACGATTTAAAAATTAAAAAAGTAACATCTCAATTTCTCGTAGATTGATCGGCTTTCGGAATCTTCATCACGGCGCAACGCGAGCTCATCACCGATGTCGAGGTAACACAAATCGTGTTTTTGCACCGGCTTCCAAACAGCCGTGATACACCGCTCGTCCACAGCTGGAGTGGGATCACTGCGATTTGAAATATCATGTGGTTAACAACGATACATCGTTAAACTCCGATGCTTATACTACGAGAAAAAATATGTACATACCCTGTGGCTGCAAAGTTGTACCACATCTTGACGAGCCTATCGACGGTGAGCCTGTCTTTCGTGCCTTCCCGGGGAAATTGGATTTCTTCCATCGATTCTCTTATGTAAGACAAATAATACAAGTACGACAGTTCATCGGCGTGTGCAACACCTGAGAATGAAACAAAAAACAAATGTATGCAAGTGTGAAATGAGAAAATTCACTTGGACACGCACCATGAAAAGGCTGGGGTCCTTGGTCGTTTTGATAAATCGTGGGTTCGTTTCCCATGTAGGAGAAATTGTACACGTACGTAGGAGCGGTTGCACGCTCGTTGCGATAATCGACGAGTTTTCGGTCAAAGTGATGGTACATGACATCCGTCACCAGATTCACCAAGTTCCACGCGGTATCTTTGCATATCGGCTTGTTCTTCAGATAAAACTCGCGGACGGACCTCATGATTTCGGGAAGTCTCGCTGACTCGCAAAGCAACAGATTTTCCACGATCTCGTCGATATTGTCGTCGTAGTATCGATATGTCTCCTCGTTGTACTCACCTGTACAAGTGCACGCGCAATTTTAACGTTTACATATATATATATATATGCAAGTGCAGGTAGGAACGACGGCATTTCGTACGACTCACCGATAAAATTCAAGAGACTTTCGTTGGTCGTGTGTCCTATGATCATCGGCACGTCAGCGGCGTCCTTCATCAATTCGGGAATCGGTAGCGGTATCAGTGGATCACTCGTGTAATCGGCATCGTAAACGGGCTCGTACGAGCCATTCGACAAAACGATCCTCTCCTGCAATAAACGATATCCGACGTGAAAACATGTCAAATTACACCAGACTCGCAACATCAAAGGCATATCGTACTCTCTTGGATATGACGCGGTCTTCTATTTCTATGAGTTTTGTCGCTGGTACCGTGCGAAGGAATTCTATCACTTGGACAGGATCGTCCGACTCGAAACCGAGGAGGGAGGCAACCCTGAATCCATTCATGAAATCGTTCTTCCTAAATAAATCCTTGATCATGAATATGGTGCCACTTTGTAAAATAGTTTTGTGAAAGAGACCTGCAGAGCACGGGAAGTAAAGATGACGCGATCGTTGGATCTTTTGATGGATATAAAAAGTATATCGGTAACGTACCCTTGGCCATCGGTATTAGAGTAAATAAGTGGCATATGATGGCTCCGGCGCTACTTCCGAAAATCGTCACGTTGCTGGCGTCACCTCCGAATGACTCGATGTTCCTCTGAACCCACGTCAGCGCGGCAATGATGTCCCTCAGACCTTGATTACCGGGTGCCACCTCGTGGCCGAGATTAAGAAAGCCTGAAACTCACCACACATCCCGTAATTTTTCAATCTGTGTGAGTCAACAACCGGAATCGAATCGATTTTTCAGTCCTCGTACCCATGGGACCTAGCCTGTAGTTGACGTGGACGAGTACCATATCCTGGGTGATCAAATAATCTTGGCTGTAAACGCAGTCGTTGCCGGTTCCCTCGACAAAGTTACCACCGTGGATGAAAAACATGACCGGTCGTCTCTTGCTACCGATTTTCTTCGCATAGACGTTCAAGTAGAGGCAGTCCTCCTCGCCGTAGATCTTGTGGGGTATCGGGGTATCGGACATCTGTTGTATCGCGACATTGCCAGCGTCTTGGGACGCGTCGCGGATCCCCGACCACTTTGACGGTGGATGTGGCTCCTTCATTGAAAAAGAAATTATACTTGTATATTATATATGTTTCATCTGTAATTTATACGTTACTTTACATCATGTACCAGGATTTGGCTTACCTTGAATCGCAGTGGACCTACGGGTGGCTGAGCAAAAGGAATACCTTTAAAGGCCAAATACTTTTGGCCGAGAACACTCGTCAGTGCAGTGCCTTGGACGTAACCCTCGGTCGTCTTAATTATCGGTCCAGATTTCATTGTCCTGTTTTTCTACTTTTGGTTTTATTTTGTAACAACAATAATTTCCACGTGGACGTTCTTCTCTCGTTGCATCCATCGACTGTTCGCTGCAGATAACTGGCGGAAACTTTTCTTTTCCTCCTATTTTATTTATTATTTTTGCGCACCACAATAACGTAGATAGAGTTATCAGTTTGCAAGAGTCTCGTCTTATCTCCATACCTATACATATTTTCGCTCTGGTTGCGCATATGCAGTACCTATACTCTTTTTGTTCATCGAATAATGGATAAATTTAATTATTTACACTGTTAAGTCCAACACAGAGAAAGTACATGTACTGCTTATACTCGTTCAACAGATCGCGATAGTATATTCCCTTACACATTAGTTTTAACATTTCAAGAACTGCACGAGTGCACGATAGACGTATAGTAATGGTTGTAATCAATGAATAATAAACAGTTTTAATTTCGTTTCTTAAGACATTGGTTAGTGGATTTATTCAATTTTCCATAACAATTAGGAATGCAATAGGTGAGATATATATATATATATATATATATTTTTCATCACAATATAGTTCATCACTATAGGGATACACACGAACATGGATCAAAACAAACATATATCGCTGTATTTCTCGTAAATCGATCTACTTGGAGATTCTTTGTCACTCTTCAATACAAGTTCCTCCCCAATATCCAGATAAAACAGATTGTTCCTTTCCGAGGGTGGCCAAGTGGTCGTAACGTAACGATCGTCTTTCATCGAAGTTGGATCTCTGCGAAACAATATAATAAGTGTCGCTGCAGTACACACACACGTACACGAAATGTATTAATTTACGCAGAAGAGAGACGAGACTTTAAAGCACGTTTACCCTGTCAGAGCGAAATTGTACCACATCCTTATCAACCTCTCGAGGACGTGTCTGTCCTTCGTGCCCTCCTGCGGGAACGGCTTGTCTTTCTTCATGTACGGTATGTAAAACATGTACGCCAACTCGTCTGCGTGGGCGACTCCTGAAAAAACAACAGCTCCAACAAGGTGTCTTTCATCTTTTACGCTTTTGAATGAGTATTGTATATTCACCTCGAAGGGGTCGCGAGTCCTTGTCGTAGGAGTAGAAAGTGGGCTCGTTGCCTTGGTACGAGAAATTGTAAGCGTAGGTCGGTGCCGTGGCGTGCTCGTTGCGCAAATCTATCATCTTTCGATTTAGGTTGATCCTGGCGATGTCGGTCATCAGGTTGACCGGGTTCCACGCGTTTTCCTGGCTAATTGCTTTGTTTTTCAAGTAAAACTGCCGCACGGCGCTCATTATTTCGGAAAATTTCGACGGCTCGCGCAGGAGGAGGTAATTTTTCACGATCTCTTCGATGTTTTCGTCGTAGAATTTGTAAAATTCCCCGTCGTTCAGACGCCCTGTTGAGAGTTTTGTAAACATATATTGTGAAAGTTGTTTGCTGGATACCTTTTTGGATGTACGTACCTGCGAATGTTTCGATACTTTCGTTAGACGTGTGGCCCACAATGATGGGAATGTCTGCATCGTTTTCCAGTAATTTCGACAGCGGCAAAGGTATGACGGGGTCGTCGCTGTGCTCTCCGTCGTACACTGGTATGTAAGGCCTGAGACCGAAGATAGTTTTTTCCTGCATAAAGATATAATGTTGATGTAATACACACATGGTACTGTGCGTGCAATTTCCCCCACATGATGATCATTTAATCACTTGTTTCGACAGAATCCGATGCTCCAGTTCCACGAATCTCTCCGCAGGTACAGTCCGCAAAAACTCCAAAATCTTCACGGGATCGTCGCTGTCGAGTCCAAGCAGCGACGCTATTCTGAAACCATTGAGTATGTTCCGCTCTTTCAACAGATTTCTGGCGGAAAAAATCGAGCCGCTCTGCAAAATGGCTTTGTGGAATAGGCCTGCGAAAATTGTTATTTACTTTATTTTGTTGATCAACGCCAGGGACAACACATATCGTTTCAATCGTGCACAAAAATGGAGATACATAAAAATTTTTATATCATCATGCAATATAATAACATGTTTTCAACTTGTTGTTCGAAAGATACACAATTTTTTTTTTTTTTTTTTCCTTCGCATCGAGTACTTTTTTGTGCAAGTGAGGGGAAAAAACATGTTTTTGTTTGATTCGAATAACAATCAATAGCTCAATTGAGAACAATTACACTTCATCAGTATATACCATATGCGATGCCGTTTTTTATTCGCATTGTGATCTCGAGAAAATAAATAATACCTTTGGTGGCCGGTACCAGGGTAAACAAGTGGCAGATCAGCGACCCGGCACTGTTGCCAAAAATAGTCACGTTGTCCGGATCCCCGCCGAAAGCTCCGATGTTCTCCCGAATCCACTTCAACGCGAGAATCGCATCTTTCAACCCTTGATTGCCAGGTGCCTCCTTGTCACCAAGTTTGAAGAATCCTATATATGTACACATTCATGCATCAGAACATTGAAGTAATCATGTTAAAACGCATAAATACCAGCCGCGACGAAATTTACCAAATGGACCCAGTCTGTAGTTGACGTAGACCAGGACGATCGGCGTGGACATGAGGTAATCCTGTCGATAGATGCATTCGTTGCCCGAACCTCCGACGAAACCTCCACCGTGTATGAAAACCATAACGGGTCTTTTGTGATCTATAGATCTCGAGTAAACGTTCAAGTAGAGGCAATCCTCGCTTCCGATGACGCCCGCTGGTTTCGATGGGTCGAATTCGTATTGCATCGCGACGTCGCCTCCGTGCTCTGAAGCATCGCGCACCCCCGACCATTTCAAGGGCGGCTGAGGTTCCTGCGCCGTTTATTTATACTAATAAGATTTGTTGGCCTTTGTTTTTTTTTTATTTATTGATTTTTTAAGGAATTTACCTTAAAACGAAGAGGACCAATCGGTGGCTGAGCATAGGGTATGCCCTTGAAAGCCAAATAATTTACTCCTAGAACGCTTTGTAAAGTCGTGCCCTGCAGGGTTCCTTCCCTCACTGTGACGGTCGGTCGATCCATGTTGAGAAAGAAAGCAGCCGAATGAATCTGATCCATCGTCAAAACAGAAAGGCGTTGTATTGTACATCTGCTGATAAGCTATCGCTTGAATAAATACACTGTATTTAGTTGGGTGACATCAGTGTTGCAGAATTTGGACGTTTTACAAGACTCATAAATAATTCGAGGGTTTTTACCTTCCCTTTGTATGTTTTGGCACACAAGATCAATATTCAAAAGACACTGTTTGGTAACTGCAGAACATACTTTTTATTCATTGCCATTTTTAAAACTTCAGGTACAAAAAATAAATAGTTTTATAAATATTTCATAACAATCAACAAATCGATAATAATTCAGTCAGCTGGTTACATATTGAGAACTTCTTCAACATTCAATAGAGATAAAGTATTTTTAAATATAACGTGCAGTGCTCTCAGAAGGTGTAATCTCTCTGAGGTAATGGATGAAGACTTTTCGGTCACGCTGACATTTGACTGAAAAAAAGTCAAGAAAAAAAAAAATCAGAAACGTTTTTATGTGTTAAATAAACATTTTTTAAGTATTTACCATCAATATTCGGTATCTTCGGTAATAACTGCTGAATTTGTGAGATAAAGTAGATAAAAACGACCAGAGGTGGTGCATGTGAAATTCTAATTTCGATTCATTATTATTGACATGAGTTGGGACTGTTGATTTCAGTAAGTCTGGATATCTCATCAAATAGCTATAAATGAGATCCCACGATTCCTTAAAAAGATACATTCAATATCAATAGAACTGAAAAAAAATATTCTCAACAGTGTACTTGTTTCACATACATCATCCGTTACATGTTGAAATTCTGAAAATTCACTGATCGGTTTTATTTCTGGATATTCGTTATTTTTTACTGAGATGTTGTATTTATTCAAGATGGCACTAACCCTGGCGTTGTTGTACAAAATAAATGCTGCCTCTGTAAAACCAAAATGCTTAAGAGTATTTGAATAAGACCTAAAAAAATTAATAAAAATGTACCTTTGATAGCTTTATCCAGCTTGTCAGACTTGTTTATAACTATTGGAATATTCGGTTTGACAGACAACATTTCATAAGCAATAGAAGCTTTGGCTACTTTTTCACCATCTGCGTCGTCTACATCTGACAGTCTGTCTTCATTAATTTCTCTAACTTTATGTGATACTATGTATGCATAGTCTTGGTTTGTTAGACTCATTTCTTTTTTTCTACTTCCATTCAACACTACCCCACACAGGTATCGATGAAGCCTATTGTCCTCATTTTTACCAGTTGATTTTGTAGTGAATACATAATTTTTACTGCTTACGTCATTTTGAACTGTAAATCCTTGAGTTCTCAAAATGTTTTGTGAAACTTCCTTGATCATTTTTAATCTGGTATTCGTGATTTCAGATTCTGTATCTTCATCAATCTTTAAAAATATTGTCTTTTCCACATTACTTTCATTGGATGTCCTATTTCCAAAATTTGGGCCTTGTTCAATGGCAGTTTTTATTATTAAATACGACATTAATTTTCTGTCAAACTTAATTAAAATGTCTGAAGAGTTGAGACTCAATTCAAAGTCTATATGCACAGCATAGTTCTTGTAAATAGTAGCAACCATCTACAACATTAGGAGTTTAGTTTTAGAAAATACATAAATTACTCCTTTATTTTCATTACTTACAACTTCTTTTAAATTATGGATGGTATCTTCATCAGAGTAATTCATAAAATGGTATTGCTTTTTGTAATAATCAACAATACTCTTTACATCCTCAGAAATACTCTTGACATCGACATAACCCCTCTTCCAGTAAACTATAGATCGCGGAAACGTTATGTCTGCTGCTTTTTTAGTGTAAAGATTGAGATTCGCTATTTTTGTACTTTGAATTTTTTCTTTCAGTGTCAATATTTCGAGAACTGTATTCGCAAATTCACAGCGACTAATACAACTCATCTTTTATTATTTATCTTCGCGCAAAAATAAATCGAATACAGAGTTACGACCTAACTGATATAACTACTATTTATAATTATAATGATAAATGTTGACTTTTATTTAATACTTTTTCTATTATGTATAAATGGCATACCTATTGGTTATAAAACAAAATATATAAAGATATATCTTTATGGATAAAAATCGCGGTTGTAAACAACATTTGTAGATTTTCGTCTGCTAGTTGTCTCGTTCTATTTTCGATTTCGAACTAAAAAGTATAAGTAAGTACCCGTTTTAAAGAAAGTCACTAGTAAAATTTACTAGGATAGTGTGATACACACACGTGTGTTCCACATAATATGGGACTCCCTTTATCAAAATCATTTTTTGTTTTTCCGTACTCGTTTTGATCTATGTGTACATATGCACACCAACAAATTAATTTTAATTTTGACAGAGAAAAAACAACACTGATGTTACGTTTTTAGTCAATCTTTATTAACAGCTAGTGTGATTGTGCATGAAAACTGTCTGTTAAAAATTACAGAAGTTTCTTTTTGTACGAAAATCATCCATCGTTTTATACATGTATAATATGTTTATGTACAATTTTTGTCGTACGAAAACAAAAAAAAATACATTCTTTTCCCCCCTGACTGTCGTTTCTTGTAATACAAACTGGTAAGATCACAGCAAATACTCGTCAGCTTCATGTAATTAAAAACAGGCGATGGTATAGGTACTTTGCTAAGTATATACTTAGTGGCACAACATAGTTTTGGTAAACTCTTATTGGGCTATACGCCTTTACGAAAAAAAAAAAAAAAAAAAATGGGGCAAAAATGTATGCTATCGTTTAATTGCTTAATTAAGTACTTCTATGTAAAGTGTAAATCTTATAATATTATGTACATGTAGCTACGAGATCACTTCTCTGACTCTCCTTCTCCACACTTTCATTCAATTATTCTGTTACATGGAATGATGGTACTTGACGTACGCGATCGCGGCCAACTCCTTGCAAAACTCCTCGACGATTATCACGCTTTCGAGCAGAATATCCTCCTCCTCCTTCGGCCTGAAAACACAAAATAAAAAACGTCTCAAACTACCGATACATCCCAACGGCAAAACAACCAATAACAGCTAGAAAACAAAAAATCTCCTTACTTTTCACAGCAACCATCCGTCATCGAGGTGACGTCTTGCGAGCTGGAATCCTCAAATATCCTTGTCCTAGCTTCTTTGAGGAGCTGCTTGTAGTTGGGTAACTTAAGAACTTCGTTCATCAGGTACTTGGCGACCCTCTGCAAACAAATGAACAAGCTCTTCTTGCCGGGCATCAGGGGAATCAACGGATTCAACAAATACTCGTGTAGATACGGATGGGGCAGGAGCGCCAGCTTCGTTATGAGTATCGTGAGATGGAGATTCGTTTCGTACTTTTGTTTCGGAATGTTGCCGACTTTCTCGAGGAGCATTGTCAAAAAGGGTCCCGGGTAGAATCGACTCGAGGGACCATCGGTCTCTGGTCGCGAGTCCGAGCTCGCCGAGTCGTCGGTCGTGACGGCCTCTAGAGGCCAGGCAAGAAGAGCGCAGTTTTTCAAAACGGCCGAGTACTGTTTTTCCCAGTCGCCCATGTACCTCCCGTAATTGTTATCCGGCGTCGTTTGCAACTGACGCGGCAGCAGCGACAGAAAACTGAAAAATCATCCATCGTCATCATCGATTACAATTACGTAATCATCATCGTCATCATACGTACCAGTTGAGTATCCTGTGAATATTGCTGGGCGCCAGGGTCCTGCTGGATTGGTGGCTCATGCCCCCCCGCAAGGTGTCAGTCGCGCCTTTTTTCTCCCGCTCCCTCTCGTCCTCCTCGTCGCTCCAGGAGGCTATCGCGCTATCAGCCGCGCTGTTGTCGTAGTACCCTCGCGCGCTCAGGTACGTCAGGACCAGACAGTGCAGGACGTGCTCGTCCCTTTTCTCGATCATCTCCTCGAACAACTTTAGAGTCTCCACGGTCAGATCGTCGCTCTCGGTGCAGCAGTTTTTTATCAACCTGTGCTCGACCGGACTGCCCCACACTCCCGGAATGTCAGGGTCCCTCTGCTGGCCCACCAGCCATCGGGCCAACTCTGCAGCCAACGAGAATAACCCACATGAATTTGCTTTATTTTGTCGAAAAAGGTACATACACTAAGTATGGAGAGCTATTGCGTGTTAGAGCTTACCAACACTGAGCGTCGAGGGTGGAATGTCCTTGAGGCACTTGGTAATGAGGGCCGTTATAAGAACCGCATGATGAGCCGAGAGCGCGGGGGTCAGGACTTTTTCGAAGAAGGACACCCTGATGGTTCGAGCTAGGACCTCGGCCACGTCCGGATGGGCTTCCCTGGACAACTGGGCGCAAAAGTCCAGCCACATCAAGAACGCGGCCACCCTGCGGCAGCCGGGGAACTTTTTTTCGTTCGAGAGCGGAGGGGAGTCCAGGCCCCAGGTGACCTCGATCTCCTCGACTTCGGTGGGCTCGACGTGTGCCGGGATCATGTTGAAGAGTACTTCCAGGCGCCTCGCCAGGACGAGAGACAGATCGCTCTTGGCGACTATTTCGGCAAAGAATGGATCGTCGAGCGAGGCCAGGACCATTATTCCCTCGCACGCTCGTATCCTTATCGTGTTATCCTAAATTTCACACATTTGCACGTAATAAGTACTTGGCAATAGAGCAAATAATTGTTACTGGGAACGAATCTCCAGCAAAATCTGATACGGAAATAACTATATACTCACCGCACTGTTGACGTAACTCTTGAGCGAATCCAGGAGCAAGCACTTGGAGTGCTCGGGACTCCCGGGGCTGAGCGTTATGTCGTGTTTGCTAGTCCTGGATTTGTTGTCGCTGTTGCTCGACGCGCACTCCTCGTCCAGTCCCAGGTACTTGAGGTCATCGAGCACGGCTATCACGGGATCGTAGACCGAGGATTCTTGTGCATCGTCGCTGGCTCTGGAGTTTAGATTGTCGTCGTTTGGCTTGCGCGCGTAGGGACTCGAGGATCGTGACGTAGCCTCGGCATCCCTCATCGACGAGCCGCTCGACTGGGTCGACGAGTCCGACCTCGTGGACTCGTTGCGCGTGTGATTGGCCGGCTTTTTCCCTCCCCCTCGAGACTCTGCCGAATGAGAGCTGGATTTGTCAGTCGTATCTTTGTGGACCGATCTGTAGAAAGATCTGTTTAACTCACATGCTTCAAATTGTTTGTCATTTGCTTTCGTATTGGCCATCATGGCCAAAAAATACTTACTTGGATTTGAACAAGTCGGGATTCACAAGAGTGATGGCTTGCGTGTCCAGGGGTTTGAAGAGTGGATTGTTCCTCGTTTTCCCGGTTGGAATGTAGGTGATCTTCTCGATCTCGTTTTTCCCGAGGTCGCAGCTCAGGATCTCGTTTTCGTGGTTGACGTTGCTGGAGTCGTTGACGATGTTCGTCACGTGGGGATACTTGCAAACTAAAAAACAGAGGCACAGGAGAAACTGTATCTCCTCGTGCTCGATTGGCGAGGCCAGGTTGCCGTTGCACATGGCAATGAGCCTCTGGACGGGTCCGTAGACGGCAGCGTGGTGTAACAGTGGGTGCTTAGACCTGGTGAGTAATCTTCTCAAGTAGGACAGGCAGACGAGCCGCATTCCAGGTGGGGTTTCGGCGCAGGCCAGACTGGCCAGTAGGTCCAGTAACCTGTGCTGAAGGAGGTACTCCAGACAAGGGCCTGGCTCATCTCCATGTTTCTCTTCTTCTAGAAGTAGGTCTAGTAAACACTCCAAGTGCCTGGGTATACCGGTAGTTTCGACGAGTACTTTCGAGTCGCTTAAGTGATTGACGTAAAAGTTCATCAACTGCTTCCAGTGATAAGTAAAGTCTTGCAGTGGCGTTGCAGGAGGTGCTATCTGTAATGGCATTATTTTTAATGTTTAGCTTGCTGTAGCATTCTTAGAAATTTATTTTTTATCCTTTGAAATTAACTAATAACTCAATACAAATTGTTCACTGTACATGATGATAAAACATATGTTCACACAATGATTCATTGGCTTCAGTAAAAAAAACAGCATGATAAGCACCACGGAACAGGAACAAGACTGGGTTGTGAGGAATGCATGGGCAAAAAAACAAAAATAACAAACGTAAATTTACAACAGTTTAAATAACTTTTATTGATGAAAAAAGTCAAGATGTTAATGTGTAGATACTACAATGTCGAAAGAACAAAGATGTGTACCTACAGTGTAATACAGACATGTAAAAACAATAAGTCAGCAGCCAAAAACAGGTGGTCAAACATACATGTACATGTTTGTTTGTGTCAGATCAGAATGAAAATCCTTTGGCACAAGAATTAACGCAACAGAAATGTTTTTTTTCACAAAAGCAATAGAAAAGCGTACAAACGTTGAATATCATGATTGATTGATTTGACTGATTGTAACTGGATTATGCAAATTAAAAAAACAAAAAAAATAGGAATGCACAACACATACACCGACAAATAAATGGCAATGGCACGCACAGTAACCTCGAAATGCCCTCAACTTACCACGTCAATGGCATTTTTCAAAGCAATCTGTAAACCACTGATCATCGTTTTCAAAGTTTAATTAACTTTTGGGTGCTACCTATTTTTTTTACTATCCTCCTTTCCGTAATAATTAATTAATTATAGTTCCAGCTTTGGGATCTGTTTTATTTTGACATTACTTTGACACTTTGATTTCGCATAGCAGACAACCATTTTTTATTTCGTTTATTTGATACTTTTGGCCGTCATTCGGTTATTTGATGCCAATCGACAATCTATCAAGTAATGGTTTTGTTTGCTTGTAATTTAATAGCTATTGGTATATTAATAAAAAACGCACATAAGTTTTTATTACGCACTGTACTCTAAACGCTGCATTTTCCCCAGTTGAAATACATATATTTTTGTTTTCGAGAATTTATGTCACTAGTAAAATCACTAGTCTAGTAAATTTACTAGTGACTTTCTTGAAAACGATAAAGGTACTTTTTAGTTCAAAATCTGCCACGATAGATGGCGCTGATTGCAAATTAGTATTAGTGCGATTGATCTGCGAGTTACACGATAAAAATAAGTACATGTAGTTTTAGATATGATCTAATAATAAGAATTTATGATAAAAAATGTGTTTGAAAAGCGATATGTGCTAGCGATTACAAGTGTAATACAACAATTACTGTAATTGAACTTGCACATCAATGAAATAGTGTTACCACGTGGTATATATATATATATATATATATATATTATTTCAGCCTAATAACAGTGTCGATATGGCTGGGATGAAGAAAAAGAAAAGCTTAAAAAGCTAATTACATTTTCTTAAAGAACCGTTGCTTTTACTTCGCGAATCTTTTGGGCTAAATTGATATTGAATACTTATTTGATACACTTTCTTGCTCGTAAGTACACAAAATATGTCTACTTGTCAAAATACATCATTTTGCAAATGATGTCACTTACCGGCACTGCTTGTACATGTATTGCAAGAGAATAGAGTGGTAATAAATGCACAACATTTTATAACTCCTTTGGAATGAGTCGATAGCTTTTAAAAAGGTGTTTTTTATAGGTAAAGTGACGTGGATGTGGAATACATTGTAAATTCTGGTGTGATTAATCTGTGCCTCCCCAAAAATTGTAAAATCATAAGCAGTTGTAATGAACAAGATTCAATAATTTTTTTATTATTTCAGTTTCAACGTGTGTACATATTTGACAAAACGTATTCTTGAATGTAAAAAAATATCATACAATGGACAAAGTTATGAAAATCTAGAGCGTTTCACATTTATTGCTTTGTTGCCAATCGCCCGTTAGTTGCGCCTCATGAAGGCATCATTTAACCTTTTTGAATTATATTTGTTTTCTTATGCTGCAGCATCTATACTTGTACCCACACTTGGTGTGTGCATTCACAACAACCCAGCAACATGGCATTTTTACATAATCATAAGTTTCATGCGAGTTTGTTAAAGTACAATATTATTACACAATAAAATGATAAAAACTCGCAGTCTGCAGCCGTAAAAACAATCAGTTATGCTCGGTAATTATAATTTCAAAAGAATTTACACCTGTCAACATTTACTTTGCACTGTTGCACCATTTTCTGGCTTAGATCGTCGTTGAGGAGCTTTTAGCACGTCGTGCAGATGACAATAATCTTTTTTTACAGTAACAGTCAAATAATATATAGATTGTTTAGCCATGACGTATTTATGTACAGAACTAATTTCTTCTTAGATACCTTCGATACATGTATTGTACAACCAACAACCCACCGTGAAGTTAATTAAAAAATTTTGAACAATCACGTGAGAAATTGCTTTCCAATTAAAAATGTTTAATGAAATTCCGCAAATCAAGCTGGTGAATATATGTTTCAACAACTCACCGGCTGGAATATTCGCAAACGTCGAAACATTTTTCTGTTTCTCGTCAACGAAAGAAAAACCACTAAAAAAGCCAAATTTTGGTTCACGTAAAGGCTAAGAAGAGAACAACTACTGGCAGCCTTATCGCGGATAAAAAGAGACCTAGAGATAACGATCGCAAATCTTTTTTCGTTGAGAAAAATCATCGTGGTTATTATCTTCGCGTATCATTCTCGGATTAACATAAAGGCACTAAAAATGTTTCTTTTTTTTTAAATAAAAAAAAAAAAAAACGTATAGGCACACAAGCATGATAATTTTCCAGGCTTCATTGACGTACTACGTGACATGCTCGAGTCTTCGAATCATTTGTTCTGGAAAATTTCTGATCATAATTGTACGTTTTTTAAACTAAATATTTTTTTTTTTTTTGTTACAGCAGAAATTGTTATCTAATTGTGTTGGCGTACTTGCCGTTTGTAGGGCAAATTCCTTCAATTCAATTGAAAAATCGGAAAACAAGGTTTTTTTGTTTAGGCACAAAAAATACGTCAAAATAAATCGTAAAATAAAAAGAAAAAATAATTTTGATACTTTTTTTTATTAAATTTTCAATTTACATAAAAAAACTCGAATCCTTCCAAAGGTCAAATATCAATGACGATTGCAGATCTTTTCTTTTCTTTTTTTTTTTTTTTTAATAACCATAAATGAACAATAAGTCGATGTGTTTGCGTAAACAAACTCGTCCAATTCATCATTACTATACAGACTAAAACTACATATACATATTTATAATTCATATTTATAAGAAATAAACTTGAACTATTTTTTTATTCATCTAATTAAATAAACGGAACTTTGTACAGCTGGCAAAACATAGAGATCTTCGTCGACGAAAACTGAGGCTCAATCGCGACGTCAAGGCTTATATTTTTCCACTCGCAAACAATTGTATTTATTTTAAAACGAGTCCTGCTCACATTTTTCATCATTGTTTGTAAATATTATTTTTTATCATTATCGGAACTCGCGCTAAAATCTAAAAAAAATCATACACTTTGCTTTCTAAAAAAAATGTCATCTATTTTTTTCATCATAGACACTTGGCATTGCAAGCGAATGGCCACGCAATTTGGGGCTTCTTTTATATATATGTATATATTTATACTTAATATTA